CTGAGACGTGGAGACCTCCGCGGTCCTAGAGCGGAGCAGGAAGTGTCCCGGGGAGGGAGCCGGAGGGTCCGGTCTTTCCTTTTCTCCGCGTCGGGCGGGCTCTGGCGGTGGCCTGTCCTGCACGGCCCGCCAACGGGGACGCGCCGCGGGGGTGAGTACGGTCAGGCCCCAGCAGCCCGCGCGGGGCCCTCCCGCACGTCCCCCCGGCCCGCGCACCACTCGGCCCCGCGCGCTTCCCGGACCCTTGGCTCCGCGCGCCCCCGACCCCGCGCGCCCCCATCCTAGAGCGGAGCGTCGGTGGATCTGCGGGCGGGGGATAAGGGGACACCAATGTTTTTCAGGCGCCTCCATTTGTTCCCACTGGTTTTCTCCCAAGCGGAGCCGTGGTTTTCTGGATGAGCAGGAGACGGGGCTCGGCTGGCCAGGGACGGAGTCGGGCCCTGCAGAGAGCCCGCCTCGGGAAGGACACCGGGAGGCGGGCCTGGAAGGATGAGAAGCCGCTGCGGAGACTAAAACCGCCGCAGGAGGGGATTGAGTTAGACGCCGGGAAGGAGTTCCAGGCTGTGAGGTGAGGAGCTGGGAGCTCGTTACACTGGAGGCGCGCGCTCCCGCGTGTATGTGTGTAGGGAGGGAAGCGGGAGAGAGGGAGAGGGAGGAAAAGCTCGCCCTTTTCCTAGCCTAAAATGCTTTACCCTTTCTACGGATCCCGCTCTGTTTCTCCTCCGTGAGCTGTTTTAAGTACGCCCCGCGGGAATCCTCCCTTACCTACGTTCCTTCATTCATCAGGCATCACTGCTGAGCCTCCTACGCGCCAGGTGCTTGGATGACAAAGAGGAACGCCACTGTCTGATTAGGGCTGAACCTCAGCAGACACTGAGTGCTGAGGGTGGGGCCCGGGTCCCCTAGGTTGGGAGGGTGGAGGTACCTGAGGAACCCAGAGGCCCTTCAGGTGTGTAGTGGCTGAGCTCAGGGACAGTGGGGGCAGGTGGGGCTGGGAGGGGTGAAGACTGGGTTCCAGATGCAAGAGCAGACGCTGAAAGAAACCCACTGTGAAACAAGCTGTAAGGTGCCCAGCCAGACTCCCTGAGTCCTTCCCTGCCAGTCTATTTGTTTTATGTTGGAGAGCAAAGTACAGACACTTGGGTTTTTCTGACTGCCATTCTGTGGCTTTGTGGCTCTTCTGGCCTCACTTGTCTTTTTGTGAAATAGGAGTGAGGCCTGCATTCCACATGGGACCCTTGGGGGCCACTGAGTGGTTGGAGGTTAAGGTTAGGCCTCATACAGTTGGGGTGTGGAGGCCCAGTGACTGTGTCCAGGGTCTTAGAGGCCTGAGGGTGGGGGAGGGAACTGTGTGCATCCCAATTTGTCCTCACTTTCTTTGTGTCCCATAGTCTGTGAGTAGGGGCCGTGACTCTGATATGGCCCTATGTGGGTTCACTGGGGAGGTGAAGGGGCCCTGAGCCCCACTAATGTGGGGGGCTGTGCCCCACTTCTGTCCTGCCTGGGGAAGTGTGTGTGGGTGCTTTTAGCATGGTTTGAAGATGACAAGTGTAGAGAAGGCAGATAGAGGCAAGATTGAGGATCAAGGCATCTTTAAACATACACCAAAGTTCACTATGCAGACTTCACTGAGTCAGGCAAGACTGATCTGAAAGTGCTGGTGTTTTTTAAATGTTGATGTTTTTAAATGCATAGCGCTATTTTTCTCCAGGAAAGTCTAGGTGTGGCTGTCACTTGATTGGCCCTTCTCTTGTGTGGGTATCTTCTCAGCTGTGTGTCTCACCCCTGTCTCCCAGTGCAGACTTCTCTGGGCATGGCCATTTATGGCTCTGACGATCCAGTGGGCCCAGCATCAAGAGTCGGCCCTGGCCTCTGGCACGGTGGGTTTCCCATCCCGGATGTGCATTTAAGGCTCTTCCCTACACATCTGTCTTTGTCTTTCCAGCTCATATTGTAAAGATCTCAGGGGCGAGGACGGTGACTTTGGCTCAGAAGCCCCAAGATAGCAGCCTACTTGGCTCATCCCTCTCAGGTCCTTTCCAGGAGGACCTGGCCACTGAAGGTACCACAGAGTCTTAATTCCCTCTCTTTCCTGCATGTGGCCCCTGCTGCTCGGAATGCCAGTGTCATGTTGAAAAGCCACTGCTTTTCTCCCAGACTGCCTCTGCCTTATTTGCCTGGTTGCCCAGTTAGGGGATCACGTAATGATGTTTTTTGGGGGGTGGTCCTTCTCTTTCCTTTTGTGTAAGGACCTACCACACTGACTCATCACATGTCCCAGGGCTGCTTCTAAGGGCTGGTCTTTGGGCCTTGTCACTTTCCCCATCAGCACCCCCAGAACTCACTGCAGGAGACCAGAGCATTGAAGCCAGTGATTTCTGTTTGGAAATAGGGTCGTCTTCTGCTGCTGACCCCCATCAAATCCCATCATGCCCACAGCCCTGTGCCCCCGAGTCTTGGCTCCGAAGGAAAGTGAGGAGCCCAGGAAAATGAGGAGCCCACCGGGAGAGAGCCCTGGCCCCCAGGGGGAGCTTCCCAGCCCTGAGTCCTCCCGCCGTCTCTTCCGCCGCTTCCGCTACCAGGAGGCGGCGGGCCCCCGCGAGGCCCTGCAGCGCCTCTGGGACCTGTGCCGGGGCTGGCTGCGGCCGGAGCGGCACAGCAAGGAGCAGATCCTGGAGCTGTTGGTGCTGGAACAGTTCCTGGCCATCCTGCCCCGCGAGATCCAAGGCTGGGTGCGGGCCCAGGAGCCCGAGAGTGGCGAGCAGGCTGTGGCCGCCGTGGAGGCACTGGAACGGGAGCCAGGGAGACCCTGGCAGTGGGTGAGCAGAGGGGCTGGGTTGGCAGGAGGATGGGAGGAGAGGGAAAGAGCGGCCTGGGCAGTGGGTGTAAAGCACCTTGTGCTTTGGTGGGGTTACGCGTCCCCTGGCCAGGGCTGAGGCATTCTGTCTAGAACTGCTTTGGTCAGGCCCACTGGGGAGTTGGTGTCCCAGTAAAGCTGGTTACATTCCCTCAAGGCTCTAAATAGAAGGATGGTAAGCCGTACCCCTTTCCAGCCCTGTCCAAGACCTAGGCAGAGCCTCCAGTGGTCAGCAGTCCCACAGAAGGGGTTTGCCCAGTCCTGGTACAGCCACTGACCCTGACTAGGGACCTCTCCACCAAGCCTAAGAAATCCCGTGTGGATTGCAGCTCAAGCACTGTGAAGACCCCGTGGTGATTGACGATGGTGACGGCCCTCGGGACCAGGAGCAGGACCGGCTGCCAGCAGAGCCCCAGAGCCACCTTGCAAAGAGCCAGGAGGCCCAGCCCTTGGCCCTGTCTCAGGGCCAAGGGCTCCCAAACAGACCTCCAGGCCAGCTCAGCGGAGACACAGGTAGGGAGACTGGGGGAGTGGGGGCAGGGGCTTGCAACCCCACCCTGTGCCTAGCTTCTGGCTGTGGACTTCAGACCTGTGTTCTCTCTTGTCCCCTGAGGAGCCAGGAACCATTTTCAAGATCTGGCTTCCTCGCTAAAGCGACTGAATCAGAATCTCCCGAGAGGGTTTGTCCTTTTCATGGTGCCAGTCTGCTCAGAGGGACCTCTTCTGTAGTGTGGTGCTTTTGAGGTTGCACCATCTCCTTTTTGTGGGGACGCATCTCTGGGCCTTGTCATTTTGGGGGACAGCTGGGCACTGTTGCTGTCCCAGCAGGGCCTGTGTCAGGAGCCAAGTGTGACTTCATCCTCTTGTCTCACCCCAAATCTCTCTTTCCCTGGCTAAACAACTCCTGCTGTTGGGCTTGTTATGATGCTATGAGGAAATACAGAAATACTCTCGGTGGGAACAGGGTGGTGTCTCAGGGTTTGACATGTCTAACTGTCTGCACAAAGTGTGCTACTGGCTATAGGCAGGTGGTTTGGGCACCAGGTTCACTTGGCTTGGAATCCTTAAGCTATAACCCGGGCTGGGCTTCTAAGCTCTGCAGACCTCAGTTTCCTGGTCCCTACTGGGTTTTTGAGGATTAAGGGATTATACCCATAGAATGCTGAGCAGGGAGCCTGAGCCACCCATGATTTTAGGTGAAGTGACTCATATGGGAAGCGTGGCACCCTCAGGTTGAGTAAGTGACCTCTACAGGGTAAGGGTTACTTTGGGTAGACTTGCCACATTGTGCTGTAGATACAGATGGAAAAGGCGAGCATGGGGAGGCCAGGAGTGTGTTCTTGAGGTTCATAAAAGCTGTCCTTGGCATTGTAGTTAAATTTTCAGTTAAAAAAAAGAAAAAAGCATATTACATTTCTTTATGTGTGAAAATATGTTGACTTCTGTACAAAGCAGAAGCCTCTCCTTGGTTAAAAGACAAGATAGGTGTGTAAGTTTTCTAGAAATGCCAGAATGAGATCCCAGAATGAAATCCCATCGACAGGGCGACTTACACAAAAGACATTTATTGTCTCCTGGTCCTGGAGGCTGGAAGTCTGAGATCTGGGTGTGGGCAGGGCTCATTCCTCTAAGAGGGCCTCTCTCCTTGACCTGTGGACAGCCATTGTCTCCCAGTTGTCCTTACATGGCCGTCCTTCTGTGTGTGTCTTTGTCTTATGTCCTCTTATAAGGACACCAGTCACATTGGATTAGGGCCCACAGGAAAGATCTCGTGTTAACTTTATTACCTCTTGAAAGAACCCATCTTCAAATATAGTCACTTAGTCATTTTCTGAGGTCCTGGGACTTCAACATAGGAATTTGGTGGAGACACAGTTCAGCCCATGAAAACAGGCGGAAGGGAAACAACCATTAGCTCAAAGGAATGTGGCACGTGCAGGGAGCCCAGGGTGTGCAGGTGGGTGGCAGGAATGCCCTTGGGAGGAGCTGTGGCAGCCTAAACTGGTGTTTCCTGGTGAAGGTCAGACATAAGCCAGTTACCTCGGTGGCGGGGAGGGGAGAGCTTCAGCCCCAGGGTCAGCTCCTCTCTTTTCCCTGAGCTATAATAAATGGAAAAAATGGAAAAGGAGGCAGGATGCGTTAGGTCCTAGGAAGACCTTAAACACGTGGGTGATTTATCCTTCGGAGGAGCTTCCAGTAAAAGCCATGTAGTGCCTAATGTCAAAAATCTTCCCAAAAAGCTAGGTCTTGTGTAGAGGCTGAAAGCTTTCCCAAGTGCTTTGCAAGTGTCCGTGTACTTGGGTACCATGGGAAAGGTGGCAGGTATGACAGAGCAGAATTAAGTCTCCCCCTCACATCCACGCACACATACCCTCAGCCTGAGCTTTGGGTAGCGGAGCGAGGGGGCTGCCTCCTACTGGGACCCCCCCCACTTGTCACTGCTGGCTGAACTGCCTCCTGGTCCCACCCTTGTTCTAAATAGCTACTCATGTCCCTGCTTTGCATCCTGGGTCTGAAAGGTGAGGGAACTGGCTTCTGATGTTAGCTTTTATGCTGATTCAACATGTGACCTTCAGGAGACCAAAGGACAGCTTTCCAAGTCTTATTCTGTGAAAGGAGCCCCTTTTGAAACACAGCTTGTTTTCACGTGCCTATACCTGGCCTAGGTATGTGGCTCACTGCTTACAGAAGCCCAAGCGAAGTGCAGTTTGAGAGAAGTCCTGTTGGAATAGCGCCCCCCAACCCCAGGTCCCAGTCGCCCAGGTACCGGAGAGTGAGGTAGTCCAGTGTACACTCTGCACTTTCTAATGGTGGCGATTAGGGCACTGTGCCGCATGCCCTGCTGGAGTGTCACACCTGAGCAGCTAGTACATGTATGTGACCCTGGAGCCCTGTGGGAGTCTTTGTCACCAGCAGCTCCTACTGACATGTCGACCCCCAGAACCCTAACTGTCACTTTCCCGTACTGTGGATCGTGAGGCTGAGGCCCCTGGACCTGTGGGAAGTTATATCGCGACCCAGGCAGGGCACCCCAAGCCCAGGCATTCCCTGTTAAAGTCCCCATTGTCATGTCTGAAAGCAAAGTAACAAGTCCTTGGGGTTTGCCAGCAGCTTTTATGTGCATTGTGTGGCGATCCTCCTCCTGCAGGTGAGAAAAGAGACTGGGGTTTATGGGACACCCTTTCTCATCTCTTTCAGTTCCACAAGAGGCATCCCTGCTTCAGGAAGCCAGCTTGAGGGATGCACAGCAGGTGACCGCCCTCCAGCTGCCCCTGGTGAGTGACTTCTGCAAGAGCCCTTGAAAACCCCATTTTGCCTCTGTAAGTGACAGGGCAACTTTACCAGGACTCCGGCTGGTTTGCTGTCTGCCACACAGGCATTTCGGCTCCAGCTGGAAAATCTAAGGATGGATGCCCATCCTCCTCCCGCCACACAGCCCGCCATGCGGTCCAGCTGCTTCCTGGGCTGGCTGTGACATCGCCTTCCAGAGCCTTGTGCAGACAACGATGGCAGGAAACAAATGCCCTGGCATCCCCATCTGTTCTCTTCTTGGTACTCAGTGTCCCTTCCTGTGGAAAAAAGGGAGACCTTTCATTCTTTCACTTCACAGGGTATTTTTATTTAATAATAATCGCAGCAGTTCTATTTCAGAAATGTTAGGAAATGGAGGGAATGACACAGGTCACCCCGCTGCCATCACACAGTGTGCATGGTTGTTGGGGAATGTTCTGGTGTGTTCCTCCCATGTTCCCACTTACTTTCTCAGGCGTTCTCACGGGGTGGGAGCAGGGGTTGGTGTGACAAGAGTCCTCAGCTTTCTCCAGCTCAGTTTCTGCCTTGGGCTATGGTTTCTGACCATGCCATCTTCATTTTTTTTCCAAATGCTTTCCCCTGGTTGGCTTGAAATTCAGTTATTACAGTGTCGACTCCTCCCAGAAGAATGTAGGATATTGGAAATGTGTCCTTCTCTCTTTTATTCTTTGTCAGTCTTAATAGAGGTTTCAGTTTTATTGATCTTCTCAAAGAACTAGCTAATTGTTTCATTGATTTTTCTCTATTTTGTTTTAATTCCATTGATTTTTTTCTTCCCTCCCCTCTCCCCCTCCCCTTCTCTCCACCCTCCTACCTCCTCACCTGCTCACCTCCTCACCTCCTAGCCATTGTTCTTCAGTCTTAGTTGTGAAGGACACGGCTCACTGGCCCATGTTGGTATTATGATCATTGCACTCTACCCAGCTTAGGCAGTTGGCTGGCTGCTCACAGCAGCTCTCTGTCTGCCAGCCACTCACTGCAGCCCAGCTCCAGGTTGAGCTGTTGTTCACAATCTTAGCTGTAGAGGTCGCAGCTTACTGGCACAGCTTTCTGGCCCATGTAGGAATCTAACGCATCCCTGTTGTTCAGAGCTCGTGCTCTTACCAACTGAGCTATCCAGCCACCCCTGATTTTCTTATCTATATTTTCTTCTTCATTCTGCATGCTTTGGGTTTATTTTACTATTCCTTTTCTAGATTCTTGAGGTGGGAGCTTAGATTTTTGATTCGGGACTTGACTTCTTGTGTAAGCATTTATAATGCAAGCATTGTAGCGCTATAAATTTCCCTCTCAGCACTGCTTTAGTTACGTCCCACAAATTGTAATATGATGCATTTTTATTTTCATTCATTTCAGTGTGTTTCCAATATGGGAGGGTTTCCCAGTCCCACAAAAAATTCTCAGACACCAGCAGGGTGTCAGAATTCAGCTCAGTTCTGACATATCTACTAGGGGAGAGCGTGGACCCCCACAGACTGAGGGCTCAGTCCTGCAAGACTGCACACCACCTCCCTCACTTCAGATGCCAGGTACAAGCCCAGGTTGTCACCTGTACTTCTGGCTATAAATCAGAGGTTTCTACAACCCCCTCCTTGGGTTTTGATTAACTTGCTAGAGTGGCTCATAGAACTCAGAAACATTTACTTACTAGATTGCCAACTTATTTTAAAGGATATGACTCAGGAAGAGCCAGATGGAAGAGATGCACGGGGTGAGGTATATGGGAAGAGGTGAGGGGCTTCTATGCCCTCTCTGAGCACACCACTCTCCCTGCATCTCTGAACCCCATCCTTTTGGGTTTTATGGAAGCTTCATTATGTCCTTGTGATTACTAATTAAATCTTTGTCCATTGGTGATTGGTTCAACCTCCAGCCCCTCTTCCTTTCCTGAAGGTTGGTGAGGGGTTGGGACTGTAAGCTCCAACCTTCAATCACATGGTTGGTTCTGGCAACCAAAACTCTTCCTCAGGTGGGGTTCAAAGTCACCTCATTAACATAATAAAAGACACCTTTGTTGCTTTCATCACTTAAGAAGTTGCAAGTTTAAGTGATGTTTAGGAGCTGTGTTCTAGAAACAGGGAAAAAGACCAAATATATATTATAAATTGCTGTATCACAGCAGGTTCTGGATAAACTGACCTAACAGGATTCTTGTTGAAGACAGGCCAGGGTTCTCAGATGTTACCTGGGGCTGTGCAGGATGAGGAACCTGATCACATATCCAGGGTGATCAGATACCAAGCGTGGGGGTGGGGGGGTTCTGGTTAAACTGACTTAGCAGGTTTCTTGTTAAAGCAGGATTTCTGCAAAGAAGTGCATAGATGGGCCCAGTAATAGGTTCAGGAGCCTGACTGAAGTTTGGTGAAGAATTTTTGTCAACATAGCTTTTTAAGAGATTAGTATTACACTGTATATACTCGTACATAACTTATTGGAACTCTTACGTTGGTTCACCCTCCCCCTTTCCTAATACTGTGTTTCCTCAAAACACAGTATTATTATATTAATTTTTATATATTAATTTTTGGTCTTATATTAATTTTTGCTCCAACAATCTACATTCATTCATTTATCCATGTACAAAAATCTACATTTATTCAAACAGTCATGTCTGGCTGACGATCTTAACTGGGGCTTATGTTTGGGGTAGGGCTTATATTACAAGCATCCTGAAAAATCATGCAAGGGCTTATTTTCCAGTTAGGGCTTATTTTCAGGGAAACACAGTACAACTGATTTAAATAGCTCCCTCTGCATATATTTAGAACCATATCACAGTGTTATAACTTTTGCTTTAGCTATCAAACATTATTTACAAAACTTCAAAGGAGAAGGAAAACCTGTTGTATTTACCCATACTTTGGCTTACTACTGTCTCCCTTTCTTATGTTCCATGGTTCCTTCTTTTGTGAGGGGGAGGGAGAAAGTTTCCTCTCCTGTTCTAGGTTCTTTTGGCTGGTCTAATTAAATCTATAGGAGACAGATTAGTAAGAGAAAATAACCAAATTTAGTACATATGTACATACAGGAACCCCACATACATGGGTGGTTCCCACACAGAAAGGTAAAATGGGGTAGACATGTATGGCACTGTGCACTAAAGCTGAGGTCAGGCACCTGGGGCCTCGGGAGGAGGGTCATGGCAGGATGATAAGAAGAGCAGGTGTCCAGTAATTAGAAGTTTGCGTGCCCTATAGATAGGTCATAAAAAGTTATTTCTGATGATACCTCTTATTATGGAGAAGGCCCCAATTTAAGTTCTTCAAGGGAGAAGTAAGTTTGTCGCAACCCCGCATGGCCTCGGTTGCCTTCAGCTCAGAGTACCCACATGCAGAGTGGCAGGTCTGGGGCAGGCCTGTTCTGAACCCCTTCAGTCCTTTCTTTGTTTTCTTTTTTTTTTTTTTTAAGATTTTATTGGGGAATCAGGGAAGGGGAACAGACAAGTTGCTGTCCTTTTGTTCTTCAGTCTAGTTGTGGAGGACGTTGCTTCACTGGCCCAAGTTGATATTATCATTGTGCTCTTCTCCAGTGAGGCAGTTGCTCGCCGGCCATTGGATGGGCGCTTACGGCAGCATGGCAGCTCACGAAAGCTCACGCCCCGCTGCCACCCAGCCCCATTGCAGCCTACACCATCACCGGCTACTCACAGCAGCCCCGCTCCAGGTCGAGCTGTTGTTCACCATTTAGCTGTGGAGGGCGCAGCGTCACTGGCCCTAATATGGCATTCGAACCAGGGCCCTGCTGCTCTCACTCCCAAGCCAACTCTTAACCAACGCGCCACTCAGCCATCCCCCAGTTTCCTTTCTTTTAGTGCATTTCCTTCAGCCAGTGTTTTAGGATAAGTCTACTGGTAGCAAATGTACTGTTTTGGATTCATCTGAGAATGTCTTGATCCCCTTCATTCCTGAAGGGTTTGTTCACGAGGTGAGACCTCAGCTGACGGTCCCCACTCGGCACCTGGCAGTACAGCCCCTTCCTCCTGCCTCCGTAGCTTCTGATCAGGGATCGGCTGTCTTTGAATTTCCTTTTCTCCTGTAGGGAAGATAGCGTTTTCCTCTGGCAACTGAAGATTTTTTTCTTTGTTTGTCTTTAGTTTTCAGAAGTTTATTATCATGGTTCTTGGCATGGGTTTCTTTGCATTACCTGTTTAGGTTTTACTCTACTTCTTGAACCTGTGGCTTTATGTCTCTTTCCAAATCAGGACATAAAAAATCAGGGAAATCTTAAGCCATTTTTATTTCCGGTTCTTTTTCATCCACACCCCCTCTTTCCTTCCAGGCCCTAATGACACAGATTTTACTCTTGCTGCAGTTCCCCACGTGCCTGAGACTCTGTTCATGTTTTTATCTGTTTCCTCTGTTGTTCAGATTCACAGTTTCTCTCCCTGTCCCCAAGGTGACTGCCCCTTTCCTCTGTCCTGTCTGTGCTGCTGCTGAGCGCATCCCCAGGGCTTCTTACTTCAGTGCAGGCAGACCTCAAAGGTACTGCGGCGCGTTTCCAGACAAGCACAGGGAAGCGAGGCACACAGATTTTTTGGTTTCCCAGTACAGTAATACCTTGATTTGTGAGTATAATTAGTTCCGGAAACAAACTACTCATATTGTAAGACATCGCTCATCTACCACGTTAAAATGTACTTGGTTTGGGAGCATAATTTGTTCTGGAAACAAACTACTCATATTGCATGACATCACTCGTTTACCAAGGTAAAATGTGTTAGAGATGTTTACTCTTCTTGCAGAACACTCGTAAACCACGTTACTCACAATCCAAGGTTTTACTGTATATATAAATGTTATGTTTACACTATATTGAGGTCTATTAAGTGTGCAGTAGCATTGTCAAAAAAAAATCAGTGTACATACCTTAATTTAAAAATAACCTTATTGCTAAAAGAAAAAAAAATCGTCATCTGAGCTTTCAAGTCATAATCTTTCTGCTGGTGGGGGCTCTTGCCATGATG